AAGATCCTCAAGACTAAAAGGAAAGACTTGAAGAGCAAGTTAATCTCAAGATATTCTTAGCATATTTACATAAGTGTTTAGGAAAGTTAGCATTATCTAGTGTTAACATTATGTTAATGTTACCATTATATATATGCATCTTGTACTCTTATATCAAACACAACACAATAATATATCACATTATATTCTACTTTACATGATCCCTTCCCAATTCTTCCCTTGAAGGAAATGGTCTCTGATCCAGTTCTGAAGATCACCCTTCCCTGAAAAGGCTTTTCCAGCGGAAGGATTGGTTACAAGGAAAACAAAGATAGAGAGGACGAGGATGAGAATAAACGAGAGGAAGAGCAAGAAGAGGTAGATAGTGATGATGACGTAGCTGTCGTAGAGAGCTGCGACGAGGCCTAAGGAAGAAATGAAGAAGAGGAGACTCGCTGTTACGATGAGTGGGTCTTGAATAAAGCGTTGACACTGTGATGGGCCTTTCAAGAAGAGGTAGACTGAGTAACATAAGGTGGCTAGAGAGATCAGTGCGAGGATTGCGTTCGTTGTTATTACGGCCGTGTCGCTTAGCCGGCGCATTGGATCAGTGCGAGGATTGCCTTAATTGTTATTACTTGTGATGGTCAGGTGAAGATTTGAGTTTATATATGATGAACATTTTGGCAAAATAGAAGAAAGAAACTCTCGTCATGTACTAAAGAGTTAACAAAAAACAACCTGGTTATTGTGGCGTGTAAATGGCTGGTTTATACTAAAATGTGGGAGCTGGTTTAGTCAAGTGGTATGCACAAATATTCATTAATGTTCTTACATCATAAAGTTCAAGATTCAAGTAGTGATTTATTAAACAATTGGTCAGATTAATAAAGAAAAAACTTACCTAAAGTTTTCAGTATATTGCAATAAAATCGGTCAAACATGACTTTTCATAAAACTGTTCCAATATGATACATATTCGAATCCTCATAAAATCGTCTTATATATTTTCTTTAATAATAATAATCTAATAAATACGTAGAGTGTTAAATAAAAATACTAAAAGGAGAGATACAGGCAACTCTACAACCCTCAAGACATCGGCACTACGTCGCCGGACGTGGTTTCCACTAACTTACATAATAATTCATGATGCTTCATGCCAAGATTTCATAGTTATACACTGTATAAAGTATAAAATAATTAATTAATCCAAGAAAACAAATTTGCACATTATTCTAAGTTTTTTAAACAATGGAAATGGAACAAACTATAGCACGTGGAAAGTTGCACCTCTAGTTTTGCAGGTGGGTGACAATTTAGACCTTTGCACCTTCAGGTAGGTGACTTATATAATGCTTAATATTGTGTGTATTTATTACACAAAAAAACTTGAATATTATATGGAACTTTATTAAAGTGGTAAGAAAACAGAAAACGTGTTCACACATTTATACCATGGAGGAAATAATTTTAGAGCATCCATAACCGTGAGACTCGTAGAAATCCTTAAGAAAAATGGTACTTCAGATTTGGTAAAGATTTTCGGATTTTTTTTAAAAAAAAAAGAAAAAGAAAGATGACCATTCGCAGGTTGCCACATGTCCTGGGGACCCGCAAATAGTGTAAGGATTCGCTAAGAAACAGTAATTATTTAGGGATTTTAAGAATCGAATCCTTAACTTTTTGTGAAATCTATTAATTATTTAATTATTTTTTTCCTAAGGACTCTCTCCTAAGAACACGTTTAACGGCGTCTCTTAAGACATGTCTTAATGAAATTAAGAATTAAAAAAAAAAATAGCTATAAACCCAAACAACGTATCCTAATTAAGGGAAGAATGGAACGTATCCTAATTAAGGGAAGAAAAATAGCTGTGAAAATTTTATTGGACGAAGGAAAGGTGTCGAGGTTCTTTTGTTCTTTTCTTTCTCTCTCTCGGTGGCTCTCCAGAAACGGCAACTTCGGTGGCTCTCCTCGACACTATGCTCTTTTGTTCTATACGTCGTCTCTCTGCTATTGAAGTTAATCTGCCACTTGAGGATGGTAATTGATTTCGTTACCTACGTTTATTTAATCAATTCCTTAGTTAGGTTAATAATCAAAACGGTAGGCACACCATCATCTTGGTCCAATACTCTCCAAGCAGAGCTACGAGGTCGTTTATGGACTACGATTCTATAGACCAGTCACCAAGCTATGGATGGTAAAAAAAAAACTGACCATTCACGGACCGCCACGTGGGCAGTGGAGTCCGCGAATAGTGTAAGGATCAATCCTTACATAAGAATTTTTAGGATAAAATTCTTAACTGTTCATGGGACCTATTGATTATAAAACTAATATTTTCCTAAAGATTCTCGGGAAATTTGCCAAAAAGGGACAACAAAATTAACATATTGTCCCCTTTAGAATTATACTTGAGATTTTTGTCCACTTAGTATAAACAATAATGATAATCCCGTTTTATCCTTCGTATTGGACCCAAAATGTGTATCAAATATATTATTATTTATTTAGTTCTCTTGTTTTATTTCGTATTCTGTTTCCTCTACTAAAACTTCTCACATGACTTCACATCTGGTGGCGTGAATACGAGCTTCGTTGGATTGACGGTGATGAAGAGAAGAAGAAACATACAAGCAAATCGATCTGATAGGGAGGGAGGCCGGTGGTTCTTAGTCCGACATGACGCTAAGGACCTTCGCAAGTTCCGTCGCCATCAACACGCCCTTGAGGTCTCTCTCTCTCTCTCTTAATCCAAAGCTTTGACCTTTTAGGGTTTAATTGGCTCTGTATTCATATTTGAGTTAACTAAGAGAAGAAAGATTACATTTTTATTCTTATTTTGAATGATCAATTTCAGACCTTTAATTGGATGGAGATGAGGAAGATGACATTATATTTTCAAAAGCTTTGAGCTTTTAGGGTTTAATGTTGCTAATATTAGTTATAGAATGTCATTTTAGAAGAAAGATTACATTTTTATTCACATTTTGGATGGTAAATTTCAGATCTTTGAGTGGATGGACAAAGAATCATCAGTCTACTTATGGAGCTCTTATGAACTGTTATTGTGTGGAACTCAAGGAAGAGAAGGCAAAGTCTCATTTCGAGAAGATGGATGAGCTTAACTTTGTTAACAACTCGTTNTCCTCTGCTTGTTGATGCGATGAAACAGAGGGGTTTACTTCCTTGTGGGATCACTTACTCTATATGGATGCAGAGCTGTGGAAGTTTGAATGATTTAGAAGGGTTAGAGAAGGTTATAGATGAGATGGGGAAAGACTGTGAAGTTAAAACCACTTGGAATACATTCTCTAGCTTGGCTGGGATCTATACTAAAGCTGGTCTTTACGAGAAGGCGGAGTCAGCTCTGAGAACCATGGAGGAGAAGATGAATCCTAACAACCGAGACGCACATCATTTTCTCATTAGCTTGTACGTTGGAATCTCAAAGGCTTCTGAGGTTGAACGAGTTTGGGAGTCGCTGAAGAAGGCTCGTCCTGAGGTCAACAACATGAGCTACCTTTTCATGTTTAACTACAGAGAGAATATGATAACCTCTCTTTATGTGATTGGTTTCTCTTGTTTACATTACAAGTATGGAAAAATTTTTTTGCTTTGCTCTTGTTGTTGAGACATGTTTAATTGTTATCTTGTTGTTCAGAAACCGTGTGACCATTCTGTCAATATAAATTGCGTCAATATAAGAACCATAAAACCACTCGTATGAGTTCACCACGACAATTCCACAAAGATGCTAATTGCTTCCTTTGAGTACTTTGCGTACTAAATTCTACAAAGATGTTAACTTCAAGGATTAGTGTTATAAACAGCAAAAAAGGACGAAAAATAGGAAAACATGTACAGTGCAATTACTCGAACTCGGGTCACTAATAGAGGTTTTAGACATATAAACCACTGAACCAAGTTATCATATTGTCATATAATAAAAAAAAGGTAGTATATAATAGGTTATATATACCAAATATGAAACTTAAACACGTTCATGGCAAAAAATATTAAAAAAGGAAACAAAAATATTTAGAGAATATTTACTAACCATTATTTTTTAGATTTTCCTAGATTTTCGGATGGTGGCTCATAAACCGTTGGTAGAAGATACATTCTACCAAATTTTCCATTAATTTAACCAGTGGAAACGTAATCCCACGAGCGTAGACAAAACATTAAAACTAAGAAGATATGTTCTGCCAAGGTAGACGGATGGGTCTTTAGTATATGCTATGTTCTACTGAAACTGCATAACAAAGAAGGAATGTCAGTTATCATATTCTTCATTCGTAGATGTATATGTTTTTGGTGTATTACGCATTCTAAGCCCTTTAGATGGATTAGTTGTTGGTAGATTGTACATTCTGAACCGCCGTAGATGGTAGATCTGATTTACTACCCGATTTATCCAATTTTTGAGATTACTATTCCAAATATTTTTTGAATGTAAAAATATTTTTCATATATTCACATGCTACTCTATTTCATATTGTATATTTTTCCTCAATTTTTTACCTTGTAAATTTTTTACTATGAATTTTTATATACAAAAAGGGTAGTGAAGGTCCAAAAGTGCCAAAATTTGATTTTATTCTAAGGGGACAATAGTTGTGTTTTTCGGTCCCCTTTTGGTAAATTTCCCAAGATTCTCCCTAAGGACTCCTTATTGCGGATGGTCTAAGGACCCCGTTGGAGGTGCTCTTAGGGACTGATAAATAGCCGTTGCTATTACTCTCTTTACCGTTAGCGCCATTTAATTCTCTGATGGGTTTTCATCACCACTAGGGCTGGGCAATCGGGGTCTCAATCGGGTTTCGGTTCGGGTTCATTCGGGTTTCGGGTTTTGGGTTCATGAATTTCAGCCCCATTCGGATATTATAAAAATTCGGGTCGGATTCGGTTCGGGTTTAGTCGGGTTCGGTTCGGGTTTAGTAACATGTCCAAGATCCGGTTGAACCCGAAATAGTTTCGGTTTCGGATACTAATCGGGTTATCGGTTCTAAAAATACTAATTTATACTCAATTAAACTCACTATATTTTCAANTATAAAAATTCGGGTCGGATTCGGTTCGGGTTTAGTCGGGTTCGGTTCGGGTTTAGTAACATGTCCAAGATCCGGTTGAACCCGAAATAGTTTCGGTTTCGGATACTAATCGGGTTATCGGTTCTAAAAATACTAATTTATACTCAATTAAACTCACTATATTTTCAATCATTTTATTAAATTTGTGTATTTAGCTTCTGCAAACCATATTGTTCTCCTTCAAAATAATATTGTGAAACTCATCTATCAACCATATAAGATTTGTCAATGAACTATATGTGACAACACTAAACATATGATTAATGACAAACCGAAGCCTTATATGAACGAAATATAATATATAATGAAACATAAAAAAATAAAGTTAACAACTAACAATTCTATAAACATAAGAAGTGCTATTTAAACTTTTAAAAACAACATTTTATAAACTTCAAAACAAATTTATTCGTAACTTAACTTCAAATGTGATGTCAATCATAAACATTAATATTAACCAAATAACACTATATATTAGACTAAATATTTGAGTTAATTATTTATATCATAACTAATTATTTTAGGTATTCAATAATATATTAATATGTTTTGGAAACATATTAGAAATTTAGATTGGATATGATACAAGTTTTTTTGGAATTTTAAAGTTTCGGGTTCTTTCGGATATCCATTTAAGTTCGGGTTCGGTTCGGGTAATACCCATAACCCGAAATACCGTAAAACAAGATCCATTCGGTACTTATGTCGGGTTCGGATCGGTTCGGGTTCCTTTTTATCGGGTCGNTGTTTTGGAAACATATTAGAAATTTAGATTGGATATGATACAAGTTTTTTTGGAATTTTAAAGTTTCGGGTTCTTTCGGATATCCATTTAAGTTCGGGTTCGGTTCGGGTAATACCCATAACCCGAAATACCGTAAAACAAGATCCATTCGGTACTTATGTCGGGTTCGGATCGGTTCGGGTTCCTTTTTATCGGGTCGGATTCGGTTCGGATTTTCGGGTTCGGTTTTTTTTTGCCCAGCCCTAATCACCACACTCTATACTAATGCCTTCAGATCAACATCCGTGATTCTCTGAACATATTGATACCAATCAATTGTGAGATTTTATAACAAAATCGTATTTTACATGCTTATATGCATGTATAATGAATTAGATCTAAACTCAAGATAATAATCTATTATATATACTGTTGGTATTGTGATCAGTAAGAGAGGACATACAAAGCACGTGTATGAACCTCTAGGTAGGTGACATTATCACATATGCTAATATCTGTGAAGAAGCTCTTAATCTTTTTGTAACCTTTTTATGCTATTGTATGTTCATTGCCAAGGATGCTGTGAGGTTTTGGTATAAATACTTGGGGTGGATCGTGAAGTAGTAGAGTAAATAGGTGAATTTGCATCAAGTTTGATCTCTGAAACAATACCACAGAATCAGTTTGGCAGGTTGCCTTGCGCATAATTCTCAACTTCATACTGTTTTTATTCATTATTACAACACATGCATATCAAATAGAACCTTGATATTACAAATGCTAAACACATATTTTTATACCACAGAGGAAATCTGTGGGATTGGTACATAGCCGTTAGTCTCTTCACTGGACGAGACCTTATCACCACACGTTACTAGTGCCTTCAGATCATCATCCGTGATTCTCTGAAAAGATTAACAAATTGAAACCAAATAAGTGTGAGATTTTATAATCAGTTTGTCTTTTTTTTTAAAAAAATCTTATATCATATAGAGTTATATATGTATTAGTTAAATTATAACGCAAACGTGTATGAGAAAAGATACAAAACTGAAAATTAAAAAAGACCTTTTTCTGCTTGGTTAAATCCCTGAACCTTGAGAAGATGTCGTTCAATTTCTCATCATCGAGCTCATAACCCAACTGAGGATAAAAATAAACACATAATTATATACTTAATGTCAAATATTTATATGTAAAATGTGTAATCTTGTAAATATATGTATGATCGTTATATATTAACCAACGATTAAAGAAATACCTCTTTCAGCCGATCTTTCACAGCATGACGTCCGCTGCATATATATTTCCATTGTTGTTAATATGCACAAATATGAAAAAACAAAAACAATAACTAAAACTAAGAAATATATGTAGATTCATTACCTAAGCTTTCCAAGAACAATACTAGAACTTTGAGATTTTACAACCCCAACATCTTCTGGCGATAAGATCTCATATGTACTCCGGTTTTTCAAGATTCCATCCTACAAAATGTTTCAACATATTATCATTAGAAAAAAATTATTCACATATTTATCTTCTTATGTTACATTTTCTTGATTTAATATATGGTACCTGGTGAATGCCGCTCTCATGAACGAAACAGTTGGCTCCAACTATGGGTTTATGTGGTTGAACATACAAGCCGGTATATTCTTGAACCTACTCAACAGTTTACATCTATTAGTTAGTAATAATATATATAGCTTGGTCGTTTTTTTCTTTCTCTCGAGTATATATTATAAGTTACCATCTGGCTAGTAGCCATAATTTGACGTGTGTTTATTCTTGTGTAGACACCATCCATTAGGTATTCTCCTCGACATTTCAAAGCCATCACGACCTACATACATAGAAATATTAATTTCGATGATGAACTGATGATGATGACGACAACTACAACAACAGTGTTTGTAAATCAACTCAAAACCAAAATGTTGAATAAATTGTTATACATCCATTAAATATTTTTATCAGAACTATTATTATTTAATCAGTGATGGTAGTCCAGTCGCGTTTAAGGGAATAAACCCAATAAGGCGAATCCGGGTTCAAATCCCACTGACCACACAAATATATATTATTGTTTTCGACCCATTTGAATGTCCAGAAGAGAGTTTATCCGTGGACTGTACCTCCACCTATGGGTTATGTCTGTGTTCTTAATAGACCCGGGTTTAACCTTTTATTTAGTAAAAAAAAAAACTATTATCTTATTTTCCATTTCCATGTAGTATCTCTTACCTCTTCAAGCGGTGCATTGCCACTTCTTTCGCCTATTCCGTTAACTGTTACTTCGACTTGTCGTGCTCCAGCACATACACCCTACAAACATATACATATATATATTTATATGATGTAAACTAATTTATGTATAGACTTGTAGTGAAGTGAAAAAAAGGGAGAATTTAAAATAGTACGGCAATTGTGTTGGCGGTAGCAACACCAAGGTCGTTGTGACAATGAACACTGAAGATAATATCATCAATTCCAGGAGTATTTGCTTTGACGTAGCTCACGAGTTCTCCGTATTCTTCCGGCATGTTGATTCCAACAGTGTCCGCCACGTTGACCGTGGTTGCACCAGCTTTTATCGATTCTCCTAGAATCTTGCATAGAAAGTCCTTATCCGACCTGCTTGATTTTAATCAGAGACACTACTATTTTAAAAATCTGTGTCCCATGATCTAAAAATATATAGTAGTAACATTGGTCCCCAAAAAAAAGTAACAAGGTGGACCCTAAGTTGGCTGAAAAAAACATTTAAATAACAAACATTTTTCAATTGTAATATATATATATATATATATATATATATATATATATATATATATATATATATATATATATATATATATATATATATATATAATCGAGATAGATTAGGGTTTTAAGACATGGACCTGCCGCCATCTTCGCAACCAAATTGAACGTCAACGAAGCCTAAGCTTTTAGCAAACCTGACACTACTCGCGGCCATCTCAATGACTTCTTCTTGAGTCTTTTTCAACTTGTATTTCATATGAATGTCACTGGTAGATGTGAATATGAGTATCTTAGGTCTCTTCGCGTATTTCACCGCCTCCCATGCCGCCTTAACGTCTTCTGGTTTGCTTCGTGCGATGGCGCATATCACTGGGACGTAACCTGTTTCCTCATCCACCTTAATTAACAAACACACAAGTTTACATCCTTAACTATACAGTCTCTTTAATGGTTTTTTTTTTCTGTTTATGCCTAAAAACATGCTAATATAATATTGGATAATTTTCTCAAATAGATATTTGTAATTTTTATCATAAAATAGACTTCAAAACTAAAACTGACCAAAATAATATTTTTTATTTTGAAAATTTTAAGTTTTTTAAAAAAAATTTAAGATCTGAAATCCTATCTTCAAAATTCCACTCCTAAACTCTAAATTAAAATGTTTATAATTAGTTAAACCAAATGGTATAAGTGTATATTTACTTATCTTTTATAAAACATTTAAGTCTTTTTTAGTCGTTTTTATTTTTAAAATCTATATTTGTGACAAGAACTTTTTAAGTTTATGGTAAGAAATTTCTCTATAATATTGGTTCCAATGTTATCCAGTGCCACCAAAAAAATGTTAACTATATTATATGGTTTGAACTTTGAACGTAAAATGCTTTATATAATAAACTGAAGGAAGTATATTAATAACCTCGTTTCCCACGGTCTTGGCGATGGTTTTGACAGTTTCGAACTCTTCTTCAGACGACACAGGAAAACCAACTTCCATGATGTCTACTCGGAGTTTTGCGAGCTGTCTTGCAATCTCGATCTTCTGCGGTGGAGTAAGAGCTCCACCAGGAGCTTGTTCACCGTCACGGAGCGTCGTGTCGAATACACGCACGTAATTATTGTCGGGAAGCTTGTGTGGTATGTACTCTGGCCACCTTTCCACGACGGGTTTACCATTCTCCCCCTTTGCGGATACAGGGGAGCAGCATGAGATAAGCAAGGATGACTTGTTGTGTGGACGGTTCAGGCGGAGATAGGGCAGGGAAGATCCAAAAGGTAAGCCTGAACGAACGACCACAGTGGAACTGATGGTGTGGGTCATTGCGGGAGATGTCAGAAGAGATGAAGCCATAACGATGGAGTACGTATAAGGAGAGAAGAACAGATATATTTCGATTTTTGTTTAGAAGATGGATTGTGAGGAAATTGTTTTACAATGAGAACATGTTAGTATAATATATGTGTATTTATAGGTAAAGAATTTATAGTCTTTAAAAATTATACGACACTGGTTAGAAACATTTGATTTAGTGGAGTGATGGCTTAAGCTTGACATTAGCTAGTCATTGTGAATTTTTATTTTTATTTATTATGGTTTGCAACATTTTAGTTGAGAGTGTTCTTTTCTAGAAAAGGCTAGTTGATATTGATGTTTAGAACACGCTAGTTAATTAGTATTATAAGTGTGTTCTAAATATAGCGTGTTGCCTTTGTTAATCATATATACAAATATGACATTCTGTTATAGCATGAATCAAAATTGAAAATTTCTGCTAATTTGCTTTTAATATCTTCTCAAAATTAATTATATCATCTTGTATATAGTTTCCTATGTATACTTGTACATAAAATATAAAACCGTATGCATATTGTTTGTCGGTAACTTATACAAATGTATATATAATTTGGATATTTACTAACAGTAACTTGGATTCTTTATAAATACAAGGACGATAATATAATCATAATATATTTCAAAAGTGGGTGTAAGAATTTCATTAAAATGGATGTTTAAAAAAATAGGAATGGTTTTTTTTTTTCATAAAAAAGGAATGGTTTTAAGTGATTATGTGGTTGGAAAAGAAAATTATTGTTATATTAAAAGTTAGTAGTAATCTGTAAATGAGGACATGTAAATCACGTGGTATGCACCTCCAAGTAGGTGTAACATATGATAATCTCTGTGAAGGAGATCATTTAAAATTAGGCTAGTAGAATGAGGGTTTCTTTCCGGTGTTTATCTCTTCCGAAATAGTAAATTTTCATTTGGTTGAGACAATGATGCTCTCTGCCTATAGGTAGAAGAAAAGGTACAATTATTTTATTTTTATATTTTCTTGACACGTGCGTTCTTATTTTTTTGTATTTTCGGCTTTGTTTCTTAGGTTTTTTTTTCTTAGTTAGTATAACAAGAAGAGATTATCATCACGTGTATATATGTTGCCCAGGTAGGTGGTAAGGTGCATAATTTCAGTCCCACTGTTTTCCAAATGCTGTTGAGTGGGGTAACGGTAACATAACATTTTTTAACGCATGAGTACGTAGTTTTATATGTTCCAATCCGTAAACCTTACCGATCCGAACAAATACAGCTTATTATTAGCTCCAATCAGGCAGATGAAAGAACCACAGATTTACTTCAGCATAACATTATATTTTCTTCTATCTTAAAAGTTGAAATTTAAAAATTGTCTTGTAGTTCTTCTTGTAATATCAGCGGGAAGATCATGACATATTGTATTTGTATTGAAGTTTTGTCGTCCGATTAATATCCACCTTGAAACATCCCCTATATATTAAAAGAGAAACATTTGAAAAATTATAACCTCAATTTTGTAATAATTAAAAAAGAACCCATGCTTAGGTGTCACTCAATTAGGTAGTCAATTACATTCAATTGAAAAATAAGTAGGTCCACATTCGATTTTTATATATCACTAGATACATTTGTTAATCAAACTATATGATATGATGATATGATATGATATTTATGATAGAAGCATTTATGATTGTTCCACTAGATATAATTACTATTTTATTTTCTTTCCTTAAATAAAACCTACGGAATTACCATAAATGACTAATATATATATATATATATATATATATATATATGAAAATTAATGTTTCTAATAATAAATATTTGATAACAATTTATATCTCCTCCATCATTTCTCTTTAATTTTATATTATCCCTTACATATTAAAGGAGAAACATTTAAAAAATTGTAACCTCAATTTTGTAATAATTAAAAAAAGACCCATGCTCAGGTGTCACTCAATTACGTAGTCAATTACATTCAATTGAAAAATAAGTAGGTTCACATTCGATTTTTATATTTCGCTAGATACATTCGTTGGTCAAATTATATGATATGATGATATGATATGATATTTATAATAAAAGCATTTATGATTGTTCCCCTAGATATATTACTATTTTATTTTTTTCCATAAATAAAACCTACGGAATTACCATAAATGACTAATATATATATATGACACTTAATGATTCTAATAATAAATATTTGATAACAGTTTATAATCCTCCATCATTTTCTTTAATTTTATATTATTAAAATAAATTAAACAATCCAATTAGTTATAAAATTAAACTTTAGATTTTTTCGTATAAGTTATATTTTGAATTTTAAAAACGAGAATAAATAACTAAACTATTAAAATTATTATGTTAAAAATTAATGATCAATAGTTTAACATTTTTATTATAAAAAGATATAAATGATTTTAAAACCATATAAGTAGAAAATATCATTCAATAATAAAAAAATATATATACAGATTAAACTATATACCATATAAGATTACATAAATATTTTAATTTCAAAATCCTCAATAAATTTTCAAGAGCATTTATAAATTATTAAATTTTTCACATTGAAAATTTTTGTTATCAATGATTTAAATATCTTAGTTCTTTTTTTAATTTTATATTTTTAAAAGATATTAACAATCGATAATATGGTTATTTTTGGTATATACCATACAAACCAAATGGATGTGATTTTATAAAAACCATAGGATTTGGATATGGTTTGATTTATAACCGATTAAACGGAAACATGTAAATATGTATATATTTATAACGAAGCATGAATATCTATTTGTTACATGAGTTGAACTATAATTATAACTTGTAAATAGCTAACAATTTATTACAACTTAGACTTCTTATTTTGATCTTTTTCTTTTTTAACAGTAACTAAATTGAAGTAAAGATTATAAATTTGATGGACAACAATTAGTTGAAATTCTTTACAACTTTTTTTTATCTTTAAACAAACAGAGTTGTGTTCAATCGAAGACATATTGGTTTGATGAACACTAAATATGGAAGAATATAAAAACTTTGCTTTCATACTTCTGTTTTGTTTTTTATTTTTATTTTCAAAATTTAGTGTTTTGATATTAATTATAGATTTGATCATTTTAACCTTTTTGTTTTTATTCTTTTATTTATATATATAATATTTTGTTAATAAATGACTCTGTGACAATATGACTCTAAATATGATCATATTATATATTTGTATAATATATAATATGATCTCAAACTAAATAATCATGTTTTTTGGTATAAAATTGAATAAACTGAAAACCGATGGTATATAAATCAAATCAAACTGAAGTACATATAGATTTAGAATAGTAGTTATATTTACCAAAAATTCGAGCCGAACCGAAACTCGATATTCGGATTGAATACCTCTAATCCGAATGAAACCGAACTATGGTTTCATTTTTCAAAACCTAATAAAAATAATAACTTCATCCCGCGCAAGGCGCGGGTCTTATCCTAGTTACTAGTATTACTTAAACGCCTTACTTGAAAACCCAAGCGGCCCAATTCAAAGAGATATGACATACTATACAAGAAAACTAGAACTCTTGATAAAAATAAAATACAAGAAAACTAGAAGAGGATAAAAAGTTTCTAAAGATGTGGTTTGGTTGTTTGGCTCGGCTATCTATGTTTAGTTTTAAATAGGATTTGATCAATTTACCCAAAGCAAACACCCTCTTCCAGATAATATGAAGAGAAAGGAAAGAGGTTTATCGGTTTATGTATGATATGATGTATGCTTAGAGCACCCACATTATCCCCCCTTGAGGGTTCACACCAATAAAAACATATTTTTTTCGTTTACTTTAAAAAAAAAAAAAATTTAATATTGGACCAATCATATGTTGACACGTGGTGAATCCGGGTCATCGGGGTTCACCGTGGTGAACTTTTGAAAGAAGAATTCGTAGAATTCTGATTTTAATATTATTATTTTTTTCTCGGTTCACGTGTCAACTCCTCCCCCCATCAAGGGTTGATGAGGGTGCTCTTACACCGTCTGTGAACAGACAGGCAATGGTTTGTATACTTAAAATGTACAAAGGAAGAGATTTAATAACGATAATCAAATGTTTACCAAAAAATAAGATAATCAAATATAACCGCTATGGTGATCCATATTGAACTCAATGTCAGAAATGAAAAATGGTCATAGCTAGTGTTACTCTATTTCTCCATTATATGTTCTATTTTAAATTTTTTTTGTTTGCGTATCTGCTTAAGGTTAATGTTTTAGTCATCGTTGTGGGTTTCATCTCCATTTGGCGACCGATGTCCAACCCTCAGATGAATTTCTTCATCCTGCGATTACAAGAAAAGTTATACTTATATATGCCTAGTTATAGAAAGAGACTAAAAATATAAGCAATATATGGAGGTAACCTTTTGAGGAAGTTTAGAGAGCTTGATTTGGACAGAGATGCTTGATTTTGACAAGTCCACTCCTGATCTCTGGAGTGTTTCTGTTAATGTTTTTAATAACCTGCATTCCAAAATCCACCCTTGTTTTTTTACCATTTTTCTTTAACTTAGATTAGGGTTACATAAAACATTATGGATAGAAAAAAAAAAACTCACCCTTGGAAGTAAACACTTGATATACTGATGGTATCCCTATTAACTGAAAGCTCCTCTTCCTCCTCTACTTCACTCAGATTTTCACACTCCATTGTAGCAGCATCAGCATCAGATGCTGATGGACAAGGCTGTGAGGATTGGGGAGATAAATGGTTTAACAAAATCATAGACAAATTAGAAGAAAACTTCAAGCTGAAACATATCACGAAAAACAAAGAGTACTCTTTAGAACATGTTATATTTTACCCAATTCATAAGCTTTCCTTGGTAGGGAACCACCTTGTGTTTGTCTACTTTCCCTAAGAAGTGAATGTACTCGTTAACCTGTATAATACTCCTGTTAACACTTAGAGCAAGTTTGAGATCAAACGCAATTAAAATACTAATAAATCTACTGCAAAAATGTTAAAATGTGTATATTGAAGACATTATTCATACCTCTAGTGGGAGTGACGCCTTGTCACGTTTTTGATCACTGTTAGGGATCAGTTGTCTCAACATTTGAAATCTGTTTCATATATAACTTTAATCAACTCTCAACTCTATTTACAATCTACTAATTTGAAATCCGCATCTTATATACAGTCTTAATTCACCTATCATTGATCTTGCTTCTCCTCCGCTGCTCTGTTGCAGAATGCTTTGACCTAGGCGTCTTCGACTTCGGTTCATTAGTCATTACCATGAGCTTTCCTATCTTCTTTGACTTTCAAATCAACTGTAACCAAAAACAAAGATCACATGACATAACAAACTCTTGCTGATTATTATTCCATCCATTTCACTTTAGTTGTCATTTTATGTTTTTACACACATATTAAGAAAACATTTAATTTTACATATTTTCAAGATAAAAACACAATTACATATACATCTAGCCACTTTTCAACCAATTGAAAAATAGAATATTATATAAAACTAATAAATTTTGGCTCAAAACTTTAAAACGACACTTAATTTGTGACAAAAAAATTTAAGCATACAATGACAAGTTATCTGAAACACAGAAGGGAGTATTATTTTTTGGATCAAACTCTCGTCTTTTTGTTTGAACAAAGAATCAAACTCTTGTTAATAATATTTCTTAAAGAGAAATGTAATGTAACAAAGCCTCCTAGTGATAAACCCTCTGTTAAATTCTTTTAGCCTATTAATCAAAGGTCCATTTAAGGACGGCCCAGTATATAGTCAAAGTCTTCATTACGCAACTTTTTTAAAAAATAGATACCGAAAAAGTTGCTCATTCCAAAACAGCGAGAGGAGAAAGCGAGAGAGAGAGAGAGACAAGGCGGAAAAAATGGCGGAGATGTCTTACCTTCAGATCCACGACCCAAACGACGCCGTTTTGAACCATTTCAACCGTAACCACCGTCGAAACCACCAATCGCTCTCCCAGATCCTCGATTCCCTTCCTCCCTGGATCCAATCCGACGACGATCTCTACACCGATTTTACTTCCGAAGTCGACGTTTCGGAAACCGCCGAAGGTCTCGATCTCGATCTACTCGAGAGGCGAAGCTTCGTCATGGATTTGTTCCACCAGCGCGTTGAGCAATCTCAGGTGAGTCCCCTTGACGACGACGACGATTACGGTTCAGATTCTGGTTTTGGTGTGGTGGATGGAAATCGCGACATGCGCGGGGGTAGTTTAGGGTTAGAATCTGGTAGAGATTTTGTTGATTGTGATGTTGATGATGATGATGATGATGAAGAAGATTTGTTTGATCGGATTAGGTACTTAGGAATTGATTCTGGAGATGTTATAGTTACAGTTGAATCAGGTTTTGATTTTGATTCTGATGTTGAAGAAGATGATCTAGAGAAAGAGAATTGGGGTATAGAGTTGGATGAAGAAGAAGAAGAAGATGATGAGTATGTGAATGATGATGATGATAGTGTGACAATCTCTCTTTGTCACTTGGAAGATGAGTGGGAAGAAGTTGATGATGGTGATGGTGATGATGATGATGAGAGGGCGGTTTTCGCGGCGGAAGAAGAAGAAGAAGCTGAAGCTGATGATAACAACTCTGTTTCAGTTTCTGTCTCTGCTACAATCTCTCTAGAAGATTTAGCTATAGGTGAGAGGAGAGGGTATCTAGGGTGGGAGGTTTTGTTGAACTCTCGTAGTCTCGAGTTTAACCTAGACGATGCAGAGAGCAACATGGAGTTATACATTGGTGGTGATATTGATCAACAAGAAGATGATGAAGATTATCTTCATACAACTGAGTATGAGATGTTGTTCGAGGCTGAGATCTCTTCTGGTCTTGGTAAGCCTCCAGCTTCCAAATCATTTGTAAAGAATCTCAAAGTCTCTCCTTTGACCAAAGAGGATGTTAAGGAGAAGGGTGATGATGGTGATGATGCAATGTGTTGTGCGGTTTGTAGAGAAGAGATGAATGTTGGGAATGAGGTTGCGGAGTTGCCTTGTAGACACAAGTATCATGGTGAGTGTATTGTTCCATGGCTTGGGATTAGGAACACGTGTCCGGTTTGTCGTTTTGAGTTGCCTTCGGATGAGACTGAACAGAGCCGGTTTTGAAAATTAGGGTTTACAATAGAGGAAGTTGATGATGATGATGATGACTTTGTTTGTGATTAATAACATGATAAGCTGACTTGTGTTTGTTTGTTCTAAGAAAAAAACATTGCTTATATTTACAAATTTTTATAAAATATTTGAGAATTTCTTGCAAAACTTGCACCTTTTCATATATTAACTTGCACTGCAAACCAAACTTTATATACTAAGAACTTAATATCATAAAAATTAGAATATTCTGTGCTCTGTAATCAACGAACTTGATAGAGCATCAATGGGTTCCAGACGAAACATGCAGAAAAGAGTGTCACTGTCCGTTTCTGGAAACTAGACGTTGGCTAATGTACATTTTGTTACAGACTTTGAAAGCGGTTAAGCATCATTATCTGCTTTAATTAGCCTTGAAAATCAAGTTTATCCACTTAATCTCGGTCTAAAAACAATGGATTATTTAGCATCTTTGACTTTATAGTCACATGTGTGTACTATCGGCATTCTTTTCTTCATATATTATATTACGAAAGTGGAATAAAAATTAACTTTACGAAACTCGCATTATCTTTTGTTCAAGTAGGTACGTCACCTTCGATTAATTTACGCTAATGATACATCAACTTGAATCGTTCATTTTAATTTTGTATGCTTTTAAAAGACTATAAGAGTCCTGGGATTTTCTAAATTGACAAATCGATTGAAAAAAATAAAAATGTGAGTGAAAAACAGCTAAGTCCGTGCAAGTTAGCATCCACCGACCAATTTCACCGTGAAGTCCCAATGGTAAAATACTGATGACACAAATAATGTATTACAAACAACATGTCGGACCCACACGTAATGAGATCTCAAATATTGCGTCAAAAAAAATGCGAAGCATAGCAGATAGAAGGAACAAAACACACAAAGAACATTCACAAGAAAGAATCGTATATATGAGACATTGTTAGAAGAAAACGGTGAAAGAGTCACCATTCGAAAACGAACTTCTTTATCTATGGTAAACCCTTGGTACATAAAGATTAAAGGACATGAAAAATAAACTTATCTTAAGAAACAAGAACCCACTAAAAGATATGAAACCTTGACATATATGTTGTTGACATAAATGAGATTTTGTCAAAAAGTATCCCTAGAGAGAAGTTTAGTTAGTGGAAGAGAGTTTCCTAGTTTTTCTGTCATTAAATTCAACACCTTAAGTTTAAGCCTACACTAATCTTTATATCTCTTCTTTCTCATCTATTATGTAGACTATATCTCTCTCATTGCTCTCTATCTCTTTATTGGTTTTTGTTACCTGAATCAAAGATAATCCATTTTGAATGATAACGCATCCAAAACCTTACATGGAGTCTAGTGTCCATCGCTCTCATCACTGTTTCGATATATTCGAAGGAATGCCACCACAAGACGATCATCTCAACTCGGCATTCCTACCAAACGCCACCTTCCATGTCCATTTGCAGTCACCAAACTTATCAACACGCAGCAGCAACAACAACAATAACCGCTTTCACATAGACCCAAATGGAGAAAACGTTTACGAGGGTCTCGTTCCAGACGAGAGAAGGGCGAAAAGAATGGTCTCTAACCGAGACTCAGCAAGAAGGGCGCGGATGCGGAAGAAGAGCTGCAGCAACAAGTGAAACAGCTCATGATCCAGAACCATAACTTGTCCGAGAAAGTGATCAACTTGTTGGAAAGCAACCACCAGATTCTACAAGAGAACTCGCAGCTAAAGGAGAAAGTCTCATCCTTTCAATTGCTAATGGCGGAAATGCTGATACCCATGAGAAATGTGGATGGCAGCAGCAGCAACAACGACCGTAATATGAATCATCTCAGAGGAGAGACTTCGACCAGAAAGTTTCATGTTCTTGGTGTGCTAAAGTCAAAGGTACTATGATTTGACCAATATATGTAATGTGACTACTACCACTACTACAGTAGCAGCTTTTTTTTTTGTCCACTGCTTGCATAATGTGACTACTACTACTACTATTAGTGTAATGTGACTACTACTACTACACTAGCAACTGCTTGCATATATGTATATAATAGATAACAACAATGCTATAGCTATTAGTCAAATCTTGCTCTGTGTATCACATTCTTGATCTATGAAGCAAAATGTTGAATGAAACAATGTTACAAGCCTACATTAACAACTGTTACTTCTCAGAGACAATACCTCCATTGGAAACTAAACCAACAGGAGTCATCTCTGCAGTAGGTGAATCTACACTCTCTTCTTCTGCAAATGAAAAATCAGGAGCTGCATAGAAACGAGTGCAAGGCCACCTGAAAATTTATAGCCAACAAAAAAAAGATAAGAGCTTTATCCATAACCTTAACAAAACCCACAAAGGAAAAAAAAAAACATATCTTTGATACTTACTTGCTAGATAGAATGGTTTCACCACCTATTATTGTTCTCCCCTCATACAAATTCACTGAGAATAAAAAAAAACAAAACAACACTAAAAAAAGATTCAAACTTTCATGTAATAAACCCTAAGCAAATGAAACAAACCTGCATTGGGATAGAAATGCTTGGCCACGATCCACTGCTTAAACTCAGATTCGTATCTTTTGTACTTATCACCATACTCTTTACTATCCAAATACCTAAAACCCAAAAACAAAACCCGATTTTTATATTTTTCAATTAAAAAAGAATGAAATTCAACAACAATGCAATCGAAATTTTCACTTGAAACATGAAGGTTCTTCCTCGATTTCATCGAATGCTACACCGTTGCTGTTCGCGGCGACGTTTATCTGCAACAGAACCGGAGTTTACAACAGATCGTGTAAGTGTGAGAGAGAGAGTAGTGAGTTACTGACCGTAGCTTGTGGAGGTGAAGGAGTGATTGGATTTGGTGGTTGGGGCTCGGAGTGTTGTGGAATCGTCGGAGATGTCGCACTCTCGCTCGTCATACTTTTATAACGTTTTGAATCCTTTTTTTTTTTTTTTTTGAAAAACCTTATCTATGAACTATCACTGTGTTGTTGACCAAAAAGAGAGAACTTAAATAGCTGAGACTTTTTTATTTCTTTATTTCAAATCTGTAAAAAACATTTCAAAAAATTATTTTGGTCGAGTTATTAGTGAATCCCTTTAAAAGTATATCACGGCACGAATTTAAATCCTAGAATGAACATATTTAAATATATATATATATATATATATATATATATATATATATATCAAAATGACGTTGTTTTATTTTGTTAACGATTGACTAATTTTTTTAGAGCCAATATAGATTTTATCTTGTTAACGATTGACTAATTTCTCTATATAGATTTTAGGCATGTTTTAAAAAGATATGGTAATTTTTTTTATTATAATTGAGTTAAGATTTTATTTAGTATTTACCATTTATTTGGGTCGTATTTGGTATGATTAGAATTGTTGGAGTTGAAATTAATATTTTTTCCATATTAAAATAACATGAGAAAATGATTAGAATAGACCTAAAAAAGTTTTTATCACAAATATAGACCTTAACAATTAAAATGACCAAAATAACACTTAAATGTGTTAAATATACATTTATACTTCTTGGGTTAACTAATCCTATATTTTTTTTGTTTAGAGTTGAGGAGTGTGATTTTAGGGATAGGGTTTCAAATTTTAAAAAATTAAGAAAACTTAAAATTTTAAAAATAGAAAATGCTATTTTTGTCATTTTAATTTTTGAGGTCTATTTTTGTGATAAAAACTTAAAAGAGGGCTATTTTAAAGAATTGCCAAATAACATTATGGGAAATTTGCTCTCCTACCAAAGAGCTTATGCTAAATTTGCGGAATACCAAAACACAAAAAAACCGTTACTGTTTGTCAAGTAGGTTTACGCATGTACCCTTTCGTTGCATCCTCTCACTTGACCTCACCCAACGGGTAGCAACAACTATTTCGAGGGGGAGAAAGTAATAGATATGGTAGATTTACCATATCTTCTGTGTCAGAACTTTCCGCGTAGTTAACGAAGAAAGCAGAGCATTTCAATTCTACTTTTTCTAACCTAAACAGAGAAACAATTCCGGCACCAAAATATATTATAGCAAAAGAGATTCCCGTATGGAGGAGAGCGAAGGCGGAAGGAGGGCTCCGTGTCGACTTCCGGAACGGATTTTCGCTGTCGGTGAAGAACCCACCGGTGTTAGGGTTACGCCGTATCACAAGGCCGACGGGATTAGGCAAATCCTCAACGCACTTACTGCCGTTGAAATTGAAGAGGTTAGGGGTTCTCCATTTGGGAAATTGTTGGAAATCGCGGATAAACCAAGTTTTTCAGGCCGGTTTGGGAGATACCTATTATCAAGACAACTCAAGGTCATGAAGAAGCATGAATCTTGGTTCTTGTTCGCCGGAAAACCTATTAGGTTTTCAATTAGGGAGTTTGCCATGGTCACCGGTCTAAACTGCAAAAAGTTTCCAAATCAACCAAAAAAAAAAGAGAACCAAGAACTCCGTCGCGCAGAAGCCGTACTGGTATGAGCTCTTTNAAATCAACCAAAAAAAAAAGAGAACCAAGAACTCCGTCGCGCAGAAGCCGTACTGGTATGAGCTCTTTGGAACACTCACCAACCTACCTGTTTCTTCGGTTGTCCGGATGCTCGCCAAAAATACGGTGCGTGATCGTGAAATGAGGTTAAAGTATGCATACTTAGCAATTCTCGCTGCCGTTGTACTTCCGACAACTCATTCGCCACGTATCTCACCGGAAGCAGCGGAGATGATCAGAGACTTGGATGTCTTTTTTGCGTATCCCTGGGGAAGAGTCTCATTCAACTTACTCATGTCCAGCATTAAGGAGAGGAAGGAGGTTTCGCTTTCACAAAACACCATTGCCCTCAAAGGTTTTGTACTTTCACTCCAACTTGTTATGGTTGAATGTGTACCAGCTTTGACCGAAGTGGTGGAGGATGGAAGTTCATCTTCTTCTGAAGATGATGAACATTCCCATGTCAGTGACAAAGGGTCCAGGAAAAGTATCAGCCCGGGCCACGCAAGAGACATTGATGCGGCAGGCAAGGTATTTGCTAACTTACTTTGTAATTGTATTTCTTTTATTGGTTCACATTCGATCTTTAATTGTCTTTACAATGTTGAAGCAATGTGGCCTTTTTAACTTAATTGCAGGCTGTAGTACAGTCAATAATGGTTGATGCAAATGGTGAAACTAATATTCATCCAGACTATGAATGGTCAGACGATGAAGATGATGTTGCCGTTTCTAATATGGTCAAGCTAATCAACGACCACCACACTTTCTCCCCGGAATACTTTATTGGTGGCTCAACAAAATTTGATGTCAGTAGGATGCGGGAAGAGGGTAAATCAGATATTCAAAACCGGAAGACTGGGAAAACAAAGGCTAGTACTAGTTGTCAGAGTCATCAAGGTTACGATGTTGATTTGCTTGCAAATTTGGTTAAAGAAAAACTCAAGGACGAGTTTCAACTGCTTCACAGCAACTTAGCTACAATGCAGGAATCTCTTACAGGATACACGGATACGATTCTACTTAATTTCAGCGAGTTGCATGGAGTTGTTGCTGATAATGTGGCCAAATTGACAACTCTAACCGCAGAGATGCAGAACTTTACTGCGGCCGTCCCGGGGTTCTCTGTTCACAGGGAGACACCACGTCCAAACGTGGTTGACGCCAGTACTCAAACCATGCCTGACACTGCAAACATTATATCAGACGCAGTTATGTTTGCCAAACGTTCAACTAATGGTCAGCCAGATGTAAGTTTTATGGTAGCCGGGTAGAATCATTTACTTACCACAAATATTATGTATTGTTTCTCTGCTCTAATGTTCTCTTATAATAGGTACATGACACAACCTTTGAGACAACTACAAAGAAGACTGCGTCAAGTGGTAAATATTCCCAAGGAGGAAATGCGGATGATCAATCTGAACCTCTCCGCACTCAGGCTAATCAATACGTCGTATGTTTACTCACTTCAAACATCACTTCGTTTGCCTGTGTAGATAGAAATATATTAACATTCATTTGTCAAATTTTCACATATGCAGAACCTTGATCCCTCTTTGTTGTTTCCGAACCCAACGTTCTCGCTTGGACTGACACAGGAGGAACGTGACGCGGTTGGACAGAACGATAAGACTAATACTGCTTCCGATCATGACGCTGTTGCTGAGGATCAAGGTGACCCTAATATTGAAGAACCTGACCTAGGCTTCAGGAGGGGGAAGAGGCAGAAGGTCCCTACGAAGGTGCTTATGGGTGAGTATGAATGTGATAAGAATTTTCTAAACCGTGCGAGAAAGGCCGTTACAGATGCAATCTATAAGGGACG